CCTGACGTTTCGCCAGCAGCTGTGACCGGCATCCTCAGAGGTATAACACAGAAAGATGGAGTACTCTCTGCGTCAAGGTGAGAAGAAAAATGGTAGGCAGGTAATTTATATCTACTCAGGAAGGAGGGTTAGGCTGAGTCATTATCTTGTAGGAGTTTCCCAGGCTGTGACATGCTAATGGAGGAGCTTTCCTGAGGAGGTTCTTTTGCATATGGATTGGCTGTTGAAATTCTAATCTTATCTGTAGTGCTGTTGTAAGATGTAGAGCATTTTGTGTTTTTCAGAACTGGAAACCATGCCCTATTTATTTTTAAACTCTTTTCTTTCCTATTGAAATTATGTTTATGTTTATGAATTTCAATGACTTCCCTGTGTAAACTGACATGGTAATTGGATGTGTTGTCCAGCATTTCAGTGTCTTGGAATAAGACACTGTGTCCTGTTTGAGTTAGGCTATGTTCAGCCTAGCTCAAACAGGACACAGTATCTTATTATTAATGTGATAATTATTATTATTTTTATTTTAAAACGCTGCACCTCTGATACTAAATGCCTGAACTTGAAACAGTGGCAAATCCCACTACAGCTTGAGCAGGACTGTGGGGTGGGGGTGTCACAACGATTTTAATAAAACTTTTAACATTAAAATGTATAGCATCTCTTCAACTTATCTTGCCTTGTGCCCACACTGTTTTGGGAGACCAAAAGGGAAACTGACATGTTTTTCCTCCTCTACTGCCCTTTCCCTGGTCCAAGGCACAAATGAGATGAAACTGACAAACCCCTTGTGCAGAAAAACTGCAGCCAACCCTCATACCTTTAAACGGAGAGGGAAGGAGGATTCAGAGCATATGGCATGGATCCGTCCCCCTACAAGCCACAGCATCTCCTTCTCTCTGGCCAGCACTGGGGTGGCTCCTGCCCCTACCATTCCAGTGAACAGAGTCTAAAGCTTTCTTCTAACACACAGGACTCTTCTGTTGGAGCAAAAGCCACTTAAGCTGGAAGAAGGCTCTTTGGGGGATGGCTGCATCTTCTCCATTATATTCAGATGAAGCAATATCCAGTCCCAGCTGGATGAAAATATACTGTGGGCTTTCCACACAGCCTTCCTTCAGCAAACAGGGATTCCCCCCACTTATTCCCTATCATGGGCAATTGCTACACAGCACAGAAATATTTGGGAAGAAACAACACCGGCAGATTATAGCAGGATCCCTCTGGCTCTGTGAGAGACTGGTGAGGTGTATCTAGTGCTGGACAGCGACAGCTGAAAATGCGTGTTGTTTAAGGAAGCTGCAGCATGCCAGTACAATCAAAGAAAGATATGAATCAGCTTTATACTCAGTTCGATCACTGGTCCATCTATTTGTTTCAACGTTTTATACCCACTGTTTCATTCCAAAGAATGCCCCAGAAGGCTCACGAAAGATAGGAATAAATACTAAAACATCAGTAAAGGGACACAACAACAACAAAGACCAACCACAGAGCTAACGTTAAAGACATAGTCGTAAAATAGAAAAAGCAGCAATACGGAGCAGTAAAATTATAGCAATCAGAGCCAACACAGTAGATTAGCAACAGGAGACAATGAAGCAGTCGCAATCAGTGTTTATTTAATTCAAAGACCTGTCCTAGTCCAACATTGCCCACTTGGACTGGCTGAAGTTCTCCAGAATCTTAGGCAGAGATCTGTCTTTCCAGTCTTGATACCATTTCTTAACAGCAGATATCCAGAACTGAAAACTGGACTGCCTGAATCCAAAGCACATGCCCTCTCTCCCTCTCCCTGAGCTGTAGTCCCCGTACTGGCTCTGAAAGGGATGGCTCCAGCTGTTTCTTCTCACACACTCCTATGCCAGGCCATGCCCAGCCAATCAAAGAGCTGGCCTCGTCATGCATGTCTCCCCAGGTGGCAAGACACACACAACCATAATGAATGTGTGGTGTAAATATATTGTGTCTTTTCTTTATATAGATTATTCCCCCAGTAATACTCACGGGTTTCCCAAGTTTGAGAATAACTTTTTCGGCATTGGTATGTTCCATAAAGTTAGGGTGAGGTTTCCTTCGGCGATAGTCTTCTTCTGTGAAAGGTATCTCTGGATCATCCTGGGAGGGAAGGGGAAACCAAGCAATTTTATTTAAAAAATGTGACCTTTGGAATTATTCCATTTATGCTTTTAAAGGAACCAAAGCAAGGCTGCTTCCAACATGAGGAATTTCCCATGAGTTAAGAGCTGGACCCCCCACACACACACATTTTGGGGGTGCTTCCACATGTGCTCTTACACATGCAGTGTGGGGAGAAGGACAGAGCTGGGCTTCACCTTCAGAAGAGCAGTATTAAGCTTCTCATTCCACTTCCGCAGCCCTTCTCCCTATTTTGGAACTATCCCAAACCATTATCGTAACTGAGACTTCCCAATATCGCCAAGATTTAGTAAGGCAGATTTATGTACTACTTTACTGTGCCATGTAACGAACATTAGATGCACGTTCACTCACTTTCTTTGTCACTCACCGGGTCGAGAGGCTTGCTTCGTGCCCAGGTCATGATTGTTGATAGCAGAATGAACACTTTCTGTTTCTCAAATTGTGCCATCACTTCATGTAGTGCTATATATTCAGATTACAGTGTATTTGTTAGTATAAAAAGACTAATTTCCTCTTCAATGACAACATTGGTGCCATCCTAAGCATCGTTCTTTAGCTTAGAAGGACGTAACTCTGCTTGGGATAACACTGTAAATCTTTCTGGAAAAAGTCCAAAACTGTAACATTTCATTTCAAAAGAGGGAAACTTTACAAAAATGTGGAAAATAGTAAAAAGGAAGCTGAAGGGGAAACACAAGAAGGTCATGTCCCTAGAGGATGCCTGGAAGCTATTTAAAACCACACTAATTGAAGCTCAGTTAGAATGCATACCACAGGTTAGGAAAGGCATTACCAAGTTTAAAACAAGGCCTGCATGGTTAGGGTTAGCCATGCAGGCCTTGTTTTAAACTTGGTAATGCCTTTCCTAACCTGTGGTATGCATTCTAACTGAGCTTCAATGAACTGAATAGGAGGGACCACTGGTTCTGGCAAAAGAAATGTAAGTCAATAATTAGGCATGCAAAAAGAGATTTTGCAGAGCAGGTTGCTAAAAGCACCAAGACACACCATAAACATTTTAAAAATGTATCCAGAGCAGGAAACCAGCTAGAGAAGCAGCAGGGCCTTTGCTTCTTTAAGCATGTTTAAGCCATACAATATATACTTTTTTTCTCTTTTACAGACCTAGGGCTTCCTCCAAGCTTGTAGAAAAATACCTATGTTTACATGTCCCCACTGTGTGGATTTCTTATTCCACATTCTGAGGTCTTTGTTCAGGTTTAATGGTGATACGTGATAGGTGCAATCAAGATGCACAATTTGAACAAGCATTTTAGCTTATACAGTCATTTGAATAAACACATGCTCAATATGCATGCGTAAGTTTACAGATGAGAAACAAAATTCCTTGTCCTATAACTGAGCCCAAACATAAATAAGAGATTGTCCCAAGCCTACCTCATGAATCTGTGGCCCAGACTGAATTTGAACTCAGGTCTTTGCAGTCCAAACTCTCTGTCTTCTGCAAATTAATCTGCCATCCACTTCCCCAGTTTGGCAGACAGCTTATGTATATGCCCCATGCCTCTTTTAGATAACAAAGAAACTTTCCCACCTGTAGCTGCCCAGGTTGCTTCTTCAATCTGGCTTTCATCTTCAGTGATGTTATAAATAATGACATCACACTCTGTCATGCGAGCTAGCAGCTCATCTCGAGAAGACGTCTAAAAACAAAAACAAAATGTCTGGGAGAAGGAATCGCTGTCCTCCTCTTTCAACATTCTAGTTTTAAGTTCCAGTTTCCAAACTTTTTTTTAATTTACAGTCAAAACACAAACATAAATTCATTATTCATCTTATCGATATTCTCATTTTCCATTTTTAACAATCGTGAAACAAAAAAAAAATTCATCTGAGGTTACTATTACAACCACCAATTTTTTTTCACTCTTCTAGTCCCTCCTGTTTTCCTATGCCCCAATCCTACCCGTTTATAAATCCCATCCAACTTCCCCATAACTTATAAATACTCATAATCCCATTCAAAACCTACAGTTCATTCTAACTCGCATAGTACTATTTCCCTGCATCTTCTTCTGTACCTAAAACGAAAAGTTGAAAGGGTTGCCTCCGATTATGGGTGCTATAGAGAAGCACTCTACAGCGAGAGGGGAAGCCACCTCTCTCCCTATATACGGAGGTCTTGGGGGGGACACACTCTTCGCCTGGGATACCCAGGTAGCTACAGCTGACACTAGAATTTCTAATGCCAATTTCAAAGTTGCTTGAAGTGTTCAACAGAGCATTAGCATGAACATTCAGATAATTAATCTCCCTTATCCCTTTTTGGGGTGGTAGACGTACTGTGAGGACTATGCCACATGGCCTGCTCAATCTATGAAATGGCTCTCAAACGTGTGTGTGT